TTTTCTTTTCTTTGCTGTCACAGGAGTTGCAGTTGTATCTGTCCGATCTAGCAAATCAGATTGACAGAGAGAGCGGAGGAGAAATGCCGCTGGTGATTATTATAGATGACATTACTGACTCAGCTGCAATCACTGAGCTTGTAAACGGAGCGCTCACCTGCAAGTATCACAAATGGTGAGTCACTTCAAATGGTCAACAGTATTTCACTGAAGAGTTAAAAATAAGACTGGGTTGATGAAAGTACACAATTTCCTCTGTTGATGTTTCAGTCCTTACATTATTGGAACAACCAATCAGCCTGTGAAGATGACATCTAACCACGGACTACACCTTAGCTTCAGGTGAGCACAAAGCCAGAAAATGTGCCTCCTCTTACTTTGATACACTATTGCACCACATCCCAACACTATTAAATACAAAATGAAGCTGTCATATAGCGTAAAAATACCATTTCTATATGACCACAGGATGGTGACGTTCTCCAACAACGTGGAGCCGGCTAACGGATTCCTGCTGAGGTACCTGCACCGTAAATCTGTGGAAGCCTACCAGGAGAAAGAGCAGGACTCAGCACGCCAGCAGGCTCTCCTACGCGTGCTGGACTGGATCCCTCAGCTCTGGTACCACCTCCACGCTTTCCTGGAGAAACACAGCACTTCAGACTTCCTCATAGGTGAGCAACAGCAGACACACGGTCAGCTAAGGCATAAAACAGGAAACGGGGCATAATTGGACCTGGAACAGGACATCGGTTAACATAAAATGTTCCTCCCTCAGGTCCCTGCTTCTTCCTTTCGTGCCCAGTATCAGTGGCCGAGTTCAGGCAGTGGTTCATTGACCTGTGGAACCACTCGATTATACCATACCTGCAGGAGGGAGCCAAAGACGGTATCAAGGTGAACACACACACACAGACATCGTCCGAAGTGTAACAGTAGTGATAACAACATTTCTTTACTTCTTTACGTGTTGCTTTACAATGTATTACCACCTGTTCTCTCAGGTGCATGGGCAGAAGGCGGTATGGGAGGATCCAGTGGAGTGGGTGAGAGGGACTCTCCCTTGGCCTAATGCACAGCAGGACCAGTCCAGGCTCTTTCACCTACCTCCCCCCAGCATAGGTCCACCCAGTGAGGAGAAGAAGCCCCCCAAAGACACGCCTCCACCCAGCACACTGGAGTCAGACCCACTGGTGAGAGTGAAGGTTTTAGGCTATCAAAAGAAAATTCATAGAGAAATATTTTATGGACGCTAAACAGTCAAATTGTCTTCTTATTTTCTAAAAGACTAGAATAAGGTTTTACACAGGTTAAATGAAAGAGAAGCGGCACTGCTAAAAATGTGATTTTGGGCTCATGCAATATGTATTTTAAGGCGTTCCTTTTCAGAGGCACAAAATACAGGAAGAGAGAATGGAAATTCATAAGTAACCACTGCACCTGATATATAACCACAGACTGACCACTGTGGCGACGGAAATTGTGTCTGAAGTTTCCTTTAAACGTCTTGGAAAAGCAGGTCCAGGCTGGGCTCAGTTACATCTGCAATCTCAGTACCCTGCTCAACTGAAACGTTTCAGAGACACTGAAACATTTTGCACCCTTGGCGGTTATTTGCGACAGGCTTAGTTAATATCCCAAAAGTAATTTATCAAGCAAAAAAATGCCAAACATTGTTTGGCAAATGTGAGGATTTAGCAGTTTTGTCTACTTTATATCAGTTTAAATGACTATCTGTTTTGTTGTGGGCCATTGTTTGGACAATACAAACAATTTGACGATGTCCCCATGCAATCTGAAAAATTGTAATCTGCATTTTTCAGTCTTTTCTGACATTTCTTAAACCCAACAATTATCTCAGTAATCATCGAAATGTTGGACAAGTGAATGGATATGAAAAGTAATCCTTAGCTGCTATAATCCTGAAGTGTACAGAAAACATGTCTGTTAATCTGCAGTTTAACTCACTCTGCCTCTCTGTCTCCTCCTGCTACCCAGATGGCCATGCTGCTGAAGCTCCAGGAGTCAGCCAACTACATCGAGTCTCCAGAGCGGGAGGGCTGTCTGGATCCCACTCTGCAGGCTACACTCTGAGGATAACACGCGACCGTCAGTCAAGATATGGAATTATGGACTCTTCATCATGGCTGACACAGCGGGTGCAGTCCCAATGAGACTTCAGAGACTCAATAATTAACTTAAGTGTGCGCTCAGTGAGCAGCTACAAAGCTAAATGTAAAGGATCTATATAGTGAGAGAGTGATTATGGACAATGGGTTTGCTCTGCCCTGCTATCAGAACTTTGAAAAGACAATTAAACCGCTTTCATATGAAGCTGGGATGATGATGGGAAAGACATTGATTTGTCTCTTCTCTGCCCTCAATTTGTTCCAGATGGGTTGTTGTTGAATCTGCAAGTGCATGGTAACCAGAATAGTATGACGCAAAATATTACCTATAATCCTATTGATCAAGACCCATTCTTTTCTTTTTCTTTTCATTTCCGACCGCCACAACTTTCTCCTCAACTATTGGTGCTTACTGTACTGGTTTTCTTTGAAGGCGCATGCTTCATTTCACAAAGAAATTCACCTCATACATAACTCTGACTTCCTCGAAAGTAGGATCGTCGCTCGACAACAGCCAAAAAATGCACTTTATTTTCTACTTGTGGTAATTGGATTTTAGGAGGCTGTGTCAGTGACTGTGCATCAAATGGGGACTATCAGTTTGGCCAAATTATGCAGTTCATTAGTAATTCCTCTAGATGGCAGCAAGTAACTACTTATTCCTGCCTCAGTGCTCTCCTGATGTGCTTTCTGACTTATCAAAGGTGCTTGGTATCGAACATAACACACAAAACTCTGAGAATGGCCTTGAATGTTTTTTCTTTAGCCATTGTGTAATTCAAGGATGGAATAGCAGAACTGTGAAGCTGTTAGAGTAATGTGCATGGGTGAATAACAAACCGGTTTTAGGGTCAACGTGTAAAGAAGATGTCATCATCGGTGGACTCAGTACCCACTGACATTGAACCTACTCAACATACTGTTTTGAAAACACACCGGAGAAAAAAAAACCTGCTTGTTTATCTAGTCTGCCAAAAACGGCCGACCATTTCCGGTTGTGCTTGCGTCTATTCTGTATTTAGATATTGGTTTTAAAAACACAGAATTCTGTTGTGATAGATGAGGACACAGCTTTGAAAATCTTGATTTTGTAGGATTTTATACTGATTCTTCTCCAACCATATAACTGTATACAGCAACTACAACCTATGTACACCTAACATGCCATTATCTGCAGCGGCAGACAGTGTAGAGGTGTCGTCACTGTTTCGATCATTTCTCATTCATCGGGGGAAAGTGGACAACATCATTAAAAATAAACAACTGCCATCAAGTGATAAGAATCTGTACAAAACACGTTTCCTTCCTCATAGCATTTGCTCTTTATATCTTTGATAACATCCCTTTTTTCAAACAGTAGATATCAGAGTACGGGCTGGGAGCGGGGGGACTTATTTTTATTCCTTTCCTTCATTTGTTTGCACATAATATATGTTAGAGTACTAGATTATTAGAGTATTTATTGCTCACTTCTTGACTGTTCTTGTGAGGAAGGAAGAAAGCATTAGAAAAAGACGTGTAAGAGGAGAAAACTGGAGATAGAAGAGATATTCTTAAACCTCTCAGCCCTGTGCCCCTTGACCCTGAAGTACCTCAGACTGCCATATTCTGTCCACACGTTCCTCTACTTTCCAAACAGGGTGCTGGTGTAAAGTAGAGACATGATGCCTAAGTCTATCTGTGCCTGAAACACAATTTGGCCTGAAGCCGCTTTTGAGCTGCTTTAATCTACCACACTGAGGCCTCAGAATAGAGGAAACATCATCACTTCCTCTCACCTACTCTGATGTCACTTTAATGTCATCATCTTGATGCCCAGATTCAGGTGGAGAGTGGGTTTTCGATTTTGACCTTTGGCTTGTAGTCATGGTGATATGCTGTTTGTTGAGGTGATGTGTGTATATGTGTCAGTTTACTCCGCAATAGATGAGAATGTGTATCACGACATGCTTGTGTGCGATTCGACGCCATGTAAGTGTGAAATCCTTGACATCTTTGAGGAGTTGCCTGAGAGTTTGGAAGCGGCGTAAGAACAGATATTAGCCAGGAGACGTAATGTCGATGCATGTGTCCCTGCAGTGTTTCCCAAAGTGTTGTTTTATTGGACCTACCACACCTTAACCTTATCACGGGAGGGATTTTTTTAAATAACTCTTCCTCTTTTCATGTTGTTTTTAAGAGCAGACATTTGTTTTGGTTTTTTTTCTTATGCAAATATTTGTAAAGGTTTCTTTCTCTTTTGTACATGACATCACTATTGTACACACTGTAAATAGTCAGTGCATCTGCGACAACAATCACTAAAAGTGAGATCTAAGAGAAGGCATGGCCCCTGTATGCAGAAAAGGTTGTGTCCTCTGTGGTTTTATTGTCTTCCTCCAGCAGGAAGGAGCACTTGGCTTAAAAGGGGGCTTAATAATGGTTGTATGGCGTGTCTCTATAACCACATCAAATCCCATATGTCTAACATTGCTCAATGGACACAATAAAGTCATGCCATTCTTCACATCACTGAACGTGTCTCTGCTGTCTGTTTACATTAGCCTATATCATCCACTAGATGGCGCCAACACTACTGTATATACTAACACAACTGCTTAATATCAGATGTCAGCCTTTATCTCCAGTTTAATCTCTATTTGGTGCTTGTTTGTCATAGCAAATTTTGCATTACTTAAATGTAAGTGTAACTAACTGCTTGTACACGTGAAAAACCACCGTGTTTATAATTAAAACAAGCTAAGAGTGTTCCTGCCTGCGTAGGTCGCAGTTCCTAACAGAAAGATGATGATGTGACTGCAGTGGGGAGGGGGGTATTAAAGTCAGGGAATGGGTGGCGTTGTCTACAAGCCCACCAGCCCTCACGCTATATATATTACCTAACACCCTCGTGGCTCCTTCATCCACAGCACTGGCCGTCTGTCAGCAAGATGCCAGGCAAACCTGCGCCCATCAAGAAGTCCCCAGCCAAGAAGGCTGCCGACAAGGCACCTGAGCCCGCACCCGCTCCCGTAGAGGCTCCACCTGCTGCGGAGGCTGCACCTGTGGAAGCCGCTCCCGCCGAGGCAGCTCCCGCACCCGAAGGAGTAGCAGCCCCAGCAGAGGACAGCGCTCCAGGTACATTGGTACTAAAAGCACCTTAATAACACGGCGAAAATCCCCTTCTCTTGAAAATACTCAGCTAACTGTACTAATTTTAGCGACGTTAGGCAAACTTTAGCTCTCAGGTAACCGACTTGGAGTAAGACTGCTGTTTTTTTTAAAGTGAGTAGAATTTGGGAGCACAGGAGTGCTGCCATTTTTTCAGGTAAGCTACACCTTGCTAAAATCCTAACTAAAGTTTCAGTTTTTGTCGAAATTGTTCTTGGCCTTTTGTGGTGCTGTTGAATTTACTACTATGTTTTCCACCCCATTCACATCCAATGAGTTTAGGCTAAATAACAGAAACACCTTGTCAGTATTAATGCAAGCAGCACCACAAACTAGTCTCCAAAATGATCATACAGTTGAATCAACACCTCAGAAACGGAACATTACAACCTCCTGAGGGTTGGGTTTATTACAGGTTACAGTTGTTTTAGCTAGGTGTGCTTAATAAGCTGGCGCAATTAAGTGTCCATGTGACATTTATATTAATAACATATAATTTCATCTCGCTCTTGACCGTGGTTCGTATCATTTTTTAAGCCTCTTAAAATTATGTTTTATGGTATGAATGAGAGACGCTACATTACAGATCCGAAGTGACAGCAAAAGTCACACCAGCCTCAACTCTTGAATTGGGGGCAGCTGCAGCAACTTTAACCCCCATGACTGTCAAAACTATGACTTTCAAAACTATGACTGTCAAAACCATGACTGTCAAAAACTTCTACTTGTAAATATCCTTCCTCAAAAGGTGCTCCTTTTTCAAGAGCTAAAACAGTGCATGCTTGAATATTCTCTCACTTCTTGCAACTCAAAGTAAAGTATGAAACTAGAAGTAGAATAAAACTGAGTGTGTGGACTTAATGCTGGTCATCAGTTTCTGAGGGTTTATAGTTTTGCAAATTAGGACAAATTGAAACCATCGAAGACTGGAAATTGTGGTACCCAGAAGTCATTATGCTTTCACACACTTTCAGGAGAAAAAAAACACAAATAACTCCATTAAGGAATTGCCTTTAATTCACCTCCTGAATCTGCTGTAGCTCTCTTCACCTGCCAACATGTATCTAACATCTTATAAACTTGCTGCTGATAGTAAATAACGTTGTGATTTATTAATGACCATTTTCTGGACATTAATTTCAGTATTTAATTAGACATTGTTGAAGTCCCTGCATCCTGCAGAAACAGTTCCTGCAAGAAGTAACAAAAGAAATAAAAGCCCAGAATGCATGGGACTTAATGGTGGTTAAATTGCTGGACCCACCAGTGATAGTTACACCAATGTACTGGTAACCCCAGAGATGAACCAGCTGCATCCTGTGTACATGCAGTAGACAGGCGTTCTTTTCACCAGACCTTAATGGTTGGTAAAGTAAATCACTGGTAGATGTAGTCGAGTGACTGGTATTGTTTTTGCCTGCTAACCTCAACATGTAACCCCTAACTTCAGCTGGAGGAAGCAGCCGATTCGACAGCTCTCTCTGAGGGTAAACAGACACCACAGGCGGTCCACACACTCACACCCAAGCTGTAATGCATGATGTGTGTGTTTTTGTGTCCTGCTGTACACTACATATGGTGTGTATGTTGCTTGCTCATCACCTGTCATGTTTACTTGTCTGTAAACTTCACCGCGTGCAGGTTTTCATCTTTGATCTCTGTGGTTTCCCTTCGTGGACACATGTTTGTCTTCTGCTATCTGCAAATGTCTTACAGTGTCTCTGGAACATGTTTGAGAATCAGTTTTTCGCCCGCACTGCTCTGTCCCCCTGCTTGCTTCAGTGGAGTGTATCTTGATCAAATTAGCTTGAAACTGATGGATTCCCTGCATGAGTAATGTCACAATGTAAGTCACTAATTGGCTTTCCTAATGGCATTTTAACGCCAGCTGCTTCTCCCGCTGCTGAAGACGATGCCGCTGCTTCCGCTGCAGACGCCCCCGCAGACGGTAAACATACACCACCACACAGACAACAACATTACTACTTAACTACAAAATACACTACAAACAATGATGACTTCTTCTACTACATCATGCCTATCCCCTTAGCTGTGAGAACTATTGGATTATTAACCAAAACTTGTTTGTTTGATGCTAGCTGCTCCAGCAGAAGCTGCCTTAGTTGAGGAGCCACCAAAGGCCCCCACGCCCCCACCTCCTGCAGGTAACACAAACGTTTATGCTCTACTGTTAGCATTTCAGCTTTGAAAGGTCAATGACCTAAACCCAGCAATATTCAGTTTACCACCATTAATGACAAAGAGAAGCAACGAATCATCACTTTTTAGAGGCTGGAAACAGCAAATATTTTACATTTTTGCTTACTAAAACCATTATTTGTTTATTAAAATAGTTGCTATAGTATAATATAGTAATAGTCAGCTATTTTATTACTCAACTCATCATTGAAACTCTACTTCAGATGATGACTCATGATGGAAATGGATTTGCAGAATTGTAAATGGGTCTGAGAGCAAATCCCACATAATTAGAGCTGAAACAATTAGTCGAATCATTGATTAGTCAGTTGGCTCAGACTATTTTGATAATCAGTTAATTGTTTCAGTCGTATTTCAAGCAAAAATGCCACAAATTCCTGCTTTTCTGTGTCTGATAAACTGAATATTTTTGAGTTTTGGATGTTTTGGTGGGACAAAACAAGACATTTCATTCATTTGGCTTTAGGAAATTATGATGGAAAGTTTATCACAAATTGCTTAATAATTTTCAGCCCTACACGTTATCATGCTGTATAATTGAGAGTAGGTGGGTAATTATTTCATTTTCTGCGTATTTTCAGTGTCTTTTCAGTGTATTGTACTGCTCTTAATGAATCTGCTCTGTTTCAGTCCCCACCAGCGCTCCTCTGGACGTATCTGTGGAAGATGTGAACGACTCCAGCCTCACCATTAAATGGCGGACACCAGAGACCATCGGAGATTGTGGCCTGGACGGATACATCGTCGAGTACTGCAAGGATGGGAGTAAGTCAGTGCATGTATGTGAGGCTGCGAGGCTGCACCTGTCCCCAGAGTGTCAGAGGGCAGATAGACTCATGGCTGGGTCCAGGCCGTATACGGCAGGCAGCATTTCACCGGCTGTCACTGTATCTCCTGACACCACTTTTAGAAGCGCTCGTTTGCTCAGATGATAGCATGCCTTCTGAGATTTCATCATGACAGCCAAAGTGTACTCTTTATGGGCAGGTTGTTTGTAAACTTGTGTCGACAGGTCATAAACCACTGAACATGTCCCGTTAAGGGGTCTTTTACGCTTGGGAAAAAAAGTTCCAGAAGGAATGTGTATTTGAAACCTTAAAAAGTTGCAGCCTTTTCAAGTTATCATGTCGTTCATACTTCAGAGTGAAACTTGCACTAAAAGCGCCATACTAACGCTAACCCTGGGTTTCCCTGCAGCAACAGACTGGGTTGTAGCTCAGGAGGAGCTTACGGCATCTAATCGCTACTGCATCAAGAATCTGACAAACGGTGACCTGCTGCTTGTGCGCGTGGTGGCCGTTAACCCTGGTGGCCGCAGTGAACCTGGTACACTTGCTGAGCCAGTGCGGATCCGCGAGATTGTTGGTGAGTAGCAGCAAATGTTATTTCTCAAACAGACCACCTACAAATACTTAAAGGGCAATTCCAAACACCCTAAATTGCAATTGTAAGCTTGTCTTTATAGAAACTAAGGAAAAACCTACTGAAACTGCTTGGAGAAACAACCAAGAAGCTGCAGGAAGGTCTTCATTGGTGCAATGAGAATTTCTATCTTCCATCTGAGGGGCTGCACATCAGTGTAACTATGTTGGAAAGTGTGCAAAATATACAAAAATGTGAGTGGATTTTCCCTACAAAAGTCCAAACCAACTTTCCCTACAAGATATAGTTGATATTTTGTTTCACCAATGTAAAAACAGCTTTTAAAACGTCTGTCTCCAACCTCTTTATCAGGAGCTGACTGATAGTTGTAACTTATGACCTATCCTTAAAATACTCATGTTGCAACCGGGAAGCAGAGGTGGTATTAACTGCCGGGGGCCTCAGATGAGCTGCACAGATGTATGCACATAAATCCCACAGGTGCTGACAAGACCTTTCATTAGCTGTAAATCATGCTTTCACTTATACACACATCTTCAGTCATTACTGCATGTTTGACAAATGAAGGTGAATCACTCTTCTCTACTTGTATTTGATGATTAAATGAATAGCAACAGTATATGGACCCTTTTGTTTCCTGCTGCTTGCACCCTAAAGAACTAAAAGATGTATGAAGGTAACAATATTATGTTTATTCAGGGGATAACAGTCGAAAAGTAGTCAAGCTGGCTGAACTGGCACAAATTTAAATTTAGTTGTGCTTTACAAACATAAAACACTAAACATTAAGAAAATTAAGTGAACATGGATAAATTTGACTCCAATAGCAAGCACAAAATTAGGAAAAATTACTAACATTTAACGGATACAACCAGGGCTTGACATTAGCGACCACCCACCTGCCAAATGCGGATAAAATTTGACAGTGGCCTGTAATCTTCCTAACTGGGAATGAGCGAATATCCGAGTGTTTCAGTTTTTCCCAATGGAAATGTCCTAACCTGCTCCATGCGTCAAGGAACAGGTGAAGTTCTGGTTCTACTTTTGCACCTCCAACCAGTTTTTATTGGACAAAATCGAGTCACTCACGTCATTGACATTTCTGTTTCCCCTCCAGTCAGCTGTCAACACAGGCGACATCACTTAGGCTATGCCGCGATAGACAATATATCTCAAGGTACACATTCTGTCTAAAATAACATACCGTACATTCTCAAATAGTGCAAAAATGATGATCTTGTAGAATATGCCACATTGCTGTAGATTAAACTACCCAAAAGTATAAAAAGTAGTTCAAATTAGTTCAATATTAAACATCTACAGCAGTACATAAAAATGCAACATGCACTTTAATGCAGCAGTAATATCAACATTTTAAATAATGTAATAGTAAAATACTGACAGGGATCATTTTACTCCACAATGACTACTTTAAGTACATTTTTCTATAATACTTTTTAGTTTTAGAGTGCAGTACTTTTACTTGTTATGGAGTTTTTTTCTTAAGTTATTGACCTGAATACTACTTCCACCTCTGGTTAGCACATCCACAGCCTAACTGCACCTGTGTGTTACCAGCCGAGCCTCCCCCTTTAAGGAAGGTGGACTTTTGGTTAACCTGTCTAGGGGTTTGTTGTAAACACAAGTCTTTCCCGGTGATGAGGAGGGGTAGTTCATTTTCTTTAGTTAGCCGTAAAGTGTGTAGGTAAGTTCAGGTTGTAGTTACTGTGTGTTGGTGTTTGCTGCCTCAAAAGATAAGTAAAAAGTTTGTGTTTATGTTACGGTGCGTTTTATAGAGAATATACTCTATAGAGAGAGTATTATACTGTAACCTAACCAACATAACTACCCCTCAGCTGCAGCCAGCGGAAAAAACTGAAAACATGAATATAAGACAATATTGTCACCTGCTATATGGCACAATAATTAATATTCAAATATATTTGATATATCACGTCTGTCTAACATACAGCGTTTGTACCGCACTACTTCTAGTTAGGCTAAAGCGGTGCTAACAAGGTGTGAGGCAAAACAGCAGGACTCCCGTCTGTTGTCTGCTCCAAACCTCTCTGCTCCGGCGATGACTGTTATCGCTGTCAGTAGCCTGGCAGGAGACACGCTTCCGTGGTGTGCTGGGATTTTAACTTTCTCAAATTTGAGCAGGATGCACCCTTACTTTCTGTGTGGAAATCTAATGTTTTCACACCACAGATGAAGAAGAAAAGTATTTAAACAAATAGCTGAAAGAAAGAGAGGGTTGGGGGTGACCAAAAAAGTTCATGTCAAGCCCTGGATACAACATATTTAGCATAAACATACAAAAAAGAACTGCTAAGAAAAGCATTGGATCCATCTCAGGATAAAAAGACTTCCCTCTTATGGTATACAGGATCTGTTGCACCGCTGCACTAATAGTCTCAGACATGGGTGCCGCAGTGGTTAACTGTCTGGCTCTGAAATAGCTAATTAATGGAAGACTGAGTCAGGCAAAGGAAAACGTTTGGCTAATGAGCCATCTAGCGGCTATATTTTGGTTTTTGTGACCTAGCAGCCACAAACTCACACTTTATGGCGATGGCTCTCTGGTTCTCCTGTTGTGTGGCACATATATCACTAAATGACATCACAATAAAACAAATTGTCCATTATATAACAAGAGCAAGTAATGGCGGTGTCTGTTGTTCTTTGGGTCCGTCACTTTGGTCCAAACTGAAGTATCTCAACAACTATTAAACGGATTGCCATGGAGGTTGGTCTGCATATTTGTGTCCCCCCTCAGGATTAATTGTAATAGTAGAATAATAATCTACCGCTATCATCAGGTAAAATTTTCATTCACTAAATACCAGCAAAACTAACTGTATTCCCATCAGCCTCAGCTGTATTTTGTGTTTTGCTAATTAGCAAAATCCTGATGATTATGCCCTTTAAAAAAATCACTTCAAATTCACTTGCACGTGATTATGTAATTTCTATCATATTGGTGTATATGCAGCAAACTGCTTCAAAATACAAATGTACCCTTTTTTCCTGTCACCTCTCTATACACAATAAAGGGTCAAAATGCCCATCCAAAGTGACTCTTCAAACCTCCTCTTAAACCGACGTTGGTTTCATTACTGGAGTCACATTGACGTAGTGTATATCTGAGCTGACATGCCCCAGTGATCCACTCAGAAGGACAGCTTACTGTCTCTGAGAGTATTTCCTGTTCGGGGTTCAAACCCCTGCGAACAAACAGGATACTTTAGTGGAGAAATGCAGTTGTGCAACCAGAACTGCTGGTCAACCGAGGAGACTGAAACATGAGCCTAATTGATGGATTCTGGGTGGCTTGTTGGGAGGTAAATTCAGCTGTGTGTCAGTCAGAAGCTCGCCTGACCAGACCCCCATCTACATGTACACGCTTCTGATAAAGACACATTGTCCTACATATTCTAAAAGCCCCCCACAAAGGCGCTTTATCCAGAGACAAAGACAGATTATAGACTGTGTGCATGAGCAACTGCTTGCTGCTGGATGCTGTAATGCCAGTAACACTTCTGGGCATAGCTGGGAAGTGTGCTGATTAGCAGGGATTAGTGTGTGAGCCAAATCTGGAGGCAGACCTGATCCTCATGGGGAATGATGGATCCAGGAGCCGGATCCCAGCCCGCGCGGTGGTGTTACAGTAACAAATGTTAGGACAAGGAGGATGACGCATTGGGAATGAAACCAGGTGAGATGGGGAGCAACGAAAAGAGTAGAGGGAGAAAGTGTCACAGCTACAAAAAGATGGACAGGAGGTTGATGGTGAGAGAGATAAGAGGACATTTTAAGTGGATGAGGAGAAGGGTGAGAGAGGTGATGGAGGGCAGGAGCTTGCTTGTTTCATGTATCCTATAAGTCATGAGAGCTTTTCAGGCATCTGCTGCTTCTGCAGAAACATGCGAGGGATGCTGTCCATGATACATAGTGCCAAAGTAAGTGCCTCACAAAGTCCCGACCACGGTGCAATATTATCTGTATTATTTTATTCACAGCTAGAGAACACAGGCAGTTATCGCAGATCTGTTGTCTCCTGTTTCCCGTCTCTTGTGCGTCAGCATTCCTCGGTGTGATGTTTGACCACTCCGTCCTGTTGAAAGTGACAACATCTTTCCCGCTGCTTCTTTGTGCATGACATGAGGAGACACGTGTTGGAGTTCACGTTTCTCATCACCAAAGCTATTTTAAGAGCTGTTAGATGCAGGGTCTTTCTCCTTTGCCTCTCTGTACCCAAACCTACTTTGGCTAGATTCCCTATCTATGTATGACTGCTCATAATTTGATTTATTAATGAGATTTACTTTTGACTTTAATAACCACATAGATTGTGGACTTCTGATTGTAATTGTTGTTTTGTGACTACATTTCAAATATTGAATGATGAAAGTATCACTGGAAACACTGGTCTCAATTTATTTATTTCGGCTATAGTCTGAGATGTCTAAAATGTGGTATCTATTTAATCTGTTCTTAATGTTAATGTTTATGTCTTTGTCTAAGTATAATAAATTGAGTGTCAATACTATATCATTTAATCTTACAAACACACCAGAGCTGCAACTAACAACAATTTAGATTTTAATTATTGTTTAATAGTTTAGTCTATTATTAGCGCTATTTACAATTTCTCAGAGCTCACAGCTCAGTTTGCTTGTTTTGTCCGATCAAGAAACTGGAAGATTATCAATCTGTTGCTTATACAACAAAGAAAAGCAGCGAATCGTCATTTTAAAAGCTGAAACCAGAGAATGTTTGACATTTGTTCATGAAAAATGATAAATCGAGTCATTGCAGCTTTAAATCATACATTATAATTGCCATTCTTTTCTTCTTTTTTTTTTGGTGATGTGTTTGGAAATTGGCTATTGTGAACTAACTTAGGGGTTAATTTTAGCTCCTTCAGTCATGTTCTCTTGTCAGCTTTGCGTGGGTGGTCTACTTAGGCCTTGTTGACATGTCATTTTGAGCATACATGACCCCACTAGACACAAACAGGAAGTGTCACACCGTCTGGACACTGGTATTTGGGCAATGCTAGCTAATGTTATCAAGTGGATGATTTATTTACGTGGGTGTCCAGGTTGATCTCACTAACACCAAATTTACCAACGTCTACCAACAGACCAGTTAATCAACATGGAAAACAACTCATGGATGAGGCAGAAGATAAGCACGCCTGACTTGACTTCTTGTTTTTCAGACCGTCCCAAGATCCGCATGCCCCGCGCCCTCAGATCCCGCTACGTCAAGCAGGTTGGAGAACAGATAAACCTGGTCATCCCCTTTCTTGTAAGCCAGCACAAACACATACCAGCTCTGAAGTCCATCAATAACATATGCAGATAGCACAGAAAACTTTACTCATTTTCCAACTTGTCAGGGAAAGCCCAAACCTGCTGTGTCCTGGCTTAAGGACGGTCAGCCTTTGGATACAAAGAGGGTCAACATCAGGAACAGCGACAAGGACAGCATCCTGTTTATCCGCACCGCTCAGAGGGAGGACTCTGGTGTTTACGAGATGACTGTGAAAGTGGACAGCTTTGAAGACAAAGCCACTGTCACCCTTCAGATTGTGGGTAAGTCGTTTGTGTGTGAACATGCTTGCGATGTGTAAATGTTGATTTCAGAACCCCCCCGTTGACTCTCTGCTCAGCTGTTTGTGCAGCTGACTTGCCGACTTGTTAGTTCTGACACTTGTGACTTGCTCCGACAGAAATTCAAAGCGCCGGCCAGCATACATCACATCTCTAACAATGATGCCCTTTGACCCAAAAGTGTTTCACCCTGCTTTCAGCTGCTGCTGTTAGAGTGTATGGCCCGACGTTAGAGGCATTACTATACAAATATATGTTTGGGTGCAGACACCTTTTAATGCTTTGAGAAACATGCTGGGTATGATTTAAATCCTTTAATAAATACTTACAGTAATATGTGTCCTCAGAGCTGCCCGGCCCTCCTGCCAGTGTGAAGCTGGTGGACACCTGGGGCTTCAATGCTGCTCTGGAATGGACCCCTCCCAAGGATAATGGCAACACAGAGATCACTGGATACACCATCCAGAAGGCCGACCAAAAGACTGGGGTATGGTAGATGTTCACATACAAATACAGCAGGCCAATCACGTTGACAGCATGTTTGAAGTTGTAGATATAAGCTGGATTAACATAGATACCTATCATGTAGTGTCTGTCATTGATGTTGATAGCAACACTAGACAAATGTATCATGTATCATTGGGCCTGTCATGCTTTGATTATATTCCCCACTCGTTCGCTTACTGACACGGGTTATGAAGAATCGTCATGTGTCATTGATGAATGTGAGACTATTCGGTGCAGTCGCGGTATTCACATTGTTTGATTCACTGTGATAGAGACGAGGGGGTCACGGCTGAGCAGAAGATTTGCGAAGAAGATTACCTGCTTCACTCACTTCAGAGCAGCATAACCCGCCAGTGCGGAGGTAGAAGCTTTAGTTTAATGGAATGTGGAATTTAAACAGCTAAACCGGATCAGAAGAATTGATGGTTGCTCAAATTAAAACATCTGGCTAATGATGGGTTGAGTGTTACCTCAGTGGTGATTACTAACCCAGCGAGGACACATGGCAGTATAGCTTTCTGTCCGTGCTGTACTAAACAGGCTGTCCGTTGTGTCTCCACCTCCAGGAGTGGTTCACGGTGCTGGAGCACTACCACAGGCTAACTGCCACCGTCTCCGACCTCATCATGGGCAACTCGTACTGCTTCAGAGTGTTCGCTGAGAACAAAGTGGGCATCAGCGAAATGAGCACCGTTACCAAGGACGTGGCCACCATCCAGAAGACAGGTGGCCTTCTTGATTCATTTCTTAGTCCTTCTGGGTTCAATTTGTTGACATGACAGAAGAGTTTAGTGTGTTCTTATACTTTAAGGAGCTGCAGTAAGTCAGTGGGAGTCGTGTGTGTGTGTGTGTGTGTGTGTGCTTTTGTGTGTTTATATTGAGTGGAAATGGCCTTGGCACTGCTGTAATCAGAAGTGGGTTGTACTTTTGGCCAGTGCTCAGCTGCTTCTGAAATAAATTTTAAGAGGCTCCAGCAACATCAAGACAGCTGGCAGAGCAAATGTAGCTCTTCCCGTGTGTGTGTGTGTGTGTGTGTGTGTGTGTGTGTGTGTGTGTGTGTTTATACACTGTATTTACCTGTGCGTGTGTCCCTGCAAGGAATGTCATGTAGTTATGTAGGTCAGTGCACTAAATCTGGTGATTTGTGTTTGCACTTAGGAATGTCTGTGTATGTGTCTTTTCCTGGCCAGCAGCGCTTGGTGTCTGTGCTTTGTACTCTTCAAAATGTTAATCATATATTTCATATCCAACGAAGGTTAAAGTCAAGGGCAATTGGACTTGGTTGAAGATACTGGAAGACGTTTCGTCCCTCATCCAAAGGACTTCTTCAGCTCTGACTGACTGGCAGGGAAACTCAGCTATTTAACCTCAGTGGGGTCGTTTGCCAGGGTCATCGATACCGCTGGTTCGTTAGTGTTCCCGGTTGCTGTAACGACAGTCGTTACAGTCGTTAGGACTACCGGTGGACAAGACTGAACGACCACCGTTGGTATCTTCACCTGAGGCCAATAGGTTACGTTTGTTGAGTTTCCTGGGAAGAGATGAAAGGACAGCATTGTAAGTGGGGGATAAGTGGTGGCGTAGACCCCCTCCCCTGTTCAATGAGGGCTTCTCGACCCGGGTGTAGATGGCTTCCTTGACACCTCTTTCGTCGTTCAGTCTTGGCCACAGGTAGTCCTAACGACTGTAACGACTGTCGTCACAGCAACAAGGAACACTAACGAACCAGCGGTATCGATGACCCTGGCAAACGACCCCACTGAGGTTAAATAGCTGAGTTTCCCTGCCAGTCAGTCAGAACTGAAGAAGTCCTTTGGATGAGGGACGAAACGTCTTCCAGTATCTTCAACCAAGTCTAGTTACCCTTGACTTCAACCTTCGTTGGATAACTATGACCTGGATGACTGAGAATCTTCATAGACATATATTTCATGTAAAAATCATATGAAAATGGGACCATGTTGCAACACAACAATGCCACATTTCTGTGATTTTTGCATGGCTGCCAGCATGTCATGATAGGAAATAATGCATTCGTGCACAGAAGGGTCAGACACAGATAAGCCACACTTATAAGTGATTTCACTGACAACAAAATACATTTATAATATGTCTTTAGCAAAAACTTTTAATCAGGACTATGTCAATTTTGGAAGAAGAAATATCACATGTATGACTCTTCTCTACTTCTGCTACTGTTTCAATAAGGAGAGATCAATTGGACCCATCTTCTTTAAGTGTAGGCCCATGAAGATAGGTGAGAGGTGGAAGTCTAGACGTTGTTGGTGGAGTAAAGCCAACAGACAGAAGATGAAACCTCTCTTGAGGGGCAAGGTGCTGATGGGGAGTTGGTGGGGGCGATGCTAGGTTTGAAAAACAGACTGACAGAAACAAAGAGATATTTAAAGAACAGCATCCGAGGACTAATTGGCTCGAGGAACGCGGGAAGAACGACCATGGGCCAGATATGGTGAAGTCAGAATTGTGAATGAAAGCCATTTTTAATTGCAGGAATTTCCAACAGAAAAACAGTGAGAGGGTCAAGATCTTTCTTATAGAACGTTCGACACAACTTACAGTAGTTTAGCATTTTAGCTAAATGCATTTAGCATTACTGTCACTTGTAGCCACAATTCAGCAAACGTTACATAGTGCCACTATCAGACACAAGTTAGCTTCTTGTGCTTAACCACTACTTCTATGTATGCTACTGCTGCTTCACAGAAAAAAAACCTTTGTTTTTGTTGCAATAATTACTATTCCTTGCAGACAGGTATTGAAATTTTCCACAATACCACAATGTAGTTGCCGGTGAGATCTTAACCATGTGTTCGCAGGTATTGTCTACAAGCCTCCTGAGTACCAGGAGCACGACTTCAGCGAGGCACCCAAGTTCACCACAACCCTCTGTGACCGCGCTGCCACTGTGGGATATACCACCAAGCTTCTGTGTTCTGTTCGTGGATGCCCCAAGGTCAGACAGCCACTCCTGCACTTTATCCTATGAGTGCATCTTGTCCAGGGTGTCTTGTGTTGTAACCTGTGATTGGTTGTTTGGAGCACATGCTCACTTAACACAGCAAGTAAGTGCTGGGGAAACATCTGGAAGTGAAGGGTTAGGTCTTGAGATGTGAGATTTTCTTTGGAGAGATTTTGTATGTCTTTCATATTGTAGGGAGTTGAATTCTATTTTTTCTCATACCGTATTAGTTATTCTTTATTTAAACCGTTTGCTCTGACTTTGGACCCTGAATAAATCATTTGAGTGTGTGGTATACTGCTTCACATGGGGTATTAATGTCACTGCTATAAAGATCCACTGTGGGTCCGGGCTTACACTGGCATGTCTATGTGAAGTTTCAGTATGTCTCTCACTGTTCTTGGCGGCTGCTGCTCTGGTTAAACATATCTTTACAGTTGTCTGGCTGACGCAGGCAGCTTAGGTGGCAGGCCATCGTGGAAATGCAGTTGATTATGTGTCCTTGGCTTCTCGCACCAAGGACAGCAGTCTGTCTGCACATGCCAGAGTAGTCGAGCCTACATCAGTTTCTCTTTGATTTGCCTCAGACTGCTCTCAGTGTGAGTTGAGTTCTGTTATAAGAGCAACTGCGTTGTACCAGCTGTGTGAAAACCTATCCACGGATCATCTGTAGGGGAGAGAAAGACAGTCACTGAATACCTCTTTCATACAAGGAGACCCACATACTCTGAATGTGTACTGAACCCATGTTTGACCCCATACCTGAACATGCTGTCACAGGTTAATCCCTCATCGTCACCATTCACAGACACTTGGCTGTGGTCACATCACTATGTACCATATAATTAGAATTACAAACAAATGAATTACACAAAATAAAATGGCATTTCGAACACCCACTCTCTTTCTATCACACATGCTTGTCCTCTCTCACTCTTGCTTTGTTTATCTCTCTTTATGTAACTTCTATAAAATAAGTGATTACACACTGTAAGCATGTTCAAGCATGTGTTAAGTAAGCCAATATATCTTCTCTGGCTCAGAGTCCAGGAATCCACACAACCGCTGAGCAAGTCCAGCAGAAAGGCATGTGGTGTGATAAGTTGTCCTGCTGTCTCTGATAAGGAGCTGTCACAGATAGAGGGAGAGACCACAGGGAGCTGAGAGGGAGAAGGGAGAGATGAGCATGGAAGACAAAGAAGAGGCAGCGATAAGATGTATAGCCTGTTGTCTTGTCATGGCTAAGTGGCGATGTTGCTTTATCACAGAAGGTACTATTTTTGCCACCCGTCCAGATACCAGCACTGTTATTATCAGTGTGACTGACATCCACACACATTGATGCCCAAAGACAGAAATACAGTGGGACAGGACAGAGAGAAAGGACGATAAAATGAAAAGAGCAGGAGAGATCAGTGGGTGGGTTTAAATTGTCTTTATCTCTGTTATTTCTGTCAATTAAACAAGGCAAGGCAAGTTGGAGCAAACTGAGCTAATTTCCTGCGCCGGTTTGGTATCCTGGTTACTCGCTGTGCGCCCAATTGGGAGACTGCAGAGAGTGGGGCGATGCCAATCCAGCAGCATACTGCAGTCTTGGTGCAAGAATGTCAATGCCGTTTGGCTGTCTGTTGCCTGTCTGCTCAGAGCAGATCGACAGCTCAAGGCTGAAAATGCAGTATATCAAAATCTGTTTTGTTTTTTTTACAAATCACCATGCCTTTCTGGGCTGATTCCTCGTTTAACTGACAGAGATAAAGACAATGTTAATTCATCTACTCATCTCTCCTGCTCTTAGCATTTTATCTTTCTTTCTTACTTTTCCATCCCACCATATTTATGTCTTTGTGAAGTTAAACTAAGCAGGGCAAACAACATAAAGTAAAAAACTAATGTCATCTGTTGAGTCTTCTCCATCTCTATCACTCTCTCTGATGGAGGAGGTGAAGGATGATGAAAATGAGGGACATGATTTCACCCTAGGCAGTAGACCAAGTACTGTGCATTTGAGCCTTTGGCACAGAGAAATGCTGCTGCTGAAGTTAATGATGTCATTGCACCACCAACAAATAATGCTGCTAGTGCTTGTTACCTTGGTAGACCTGCAGGTTTTATGACTGGAAGAGTCGGGTGTATCCTTCCAGATTCTTAGAGTTTGGATTGAACTTAACTAAACTGGATAGAAAAAAATCGAATCCTTCTAGATGTTACACCCTGCCCTCCATATCCTGCCACCAAAATGTCAAACTGCTAAATAATTTTAAAATGTCAAAGCCATTTCTCTTTGAAACCTGATGAATTAACTTATATACTTTTTTTTGCGGTTCAGTTAATATTAGTCAGTGGATCTTAACAAAGCAGTTTACAGCTCTTATCAGTTCTTACCTCAGAGAAAAACCTACATGCTCACAAAATGTTTACCACCTGAACTCGCATGAAAGCCCCATAAGTCTCTAAAATAGAACCCATATTTTTAAATCTTGTCGTAACCAGCAACGCAGAACTAAATATGTTTCACTCATCAGGAGGAAGGAATGGTTGAAACAAACTGTTCTGAAATGCATCAGCTGAGGTGAAATCCAATAACCAGAGTCATCTTGCATTTAGCTGGACCATGAGGAAATCCACGCAGGGATAGCGTCACTGAAACCCGGAGCAACACATACCTGGGGTCAGGAAAAAGACATATGTTACTCCCATTCTACCCAACTGTCACACTGAGCACAGACTGCTTGAGCTCACTGGAAGACAAGCTGACAACAGACAGAAACTGAGGTCTAGTCAAATGTTTGTCTAAAAACATGTAAAACCATGTGTAAAATTGGAGTATTAAAAGTAAAGAAAACTGTTTACAGCAACGTTAGGGAAAATGCCAGAAACTAGAAATGTTCAATAATATAAATAGTCAGAGCTTAGAGCTTTAAAAATAACAAAAGGAGGATTTTATTTCCCTCATTCCAACTATTGCAGAATTTATAAAGTACTAAAATTAATAACTAAACGGCATATTCTCATTAAATGTACCATGTCAAAAAATGTTTTGTCTCATACGTTGGTAAAAATCAGCCCAGCATGAGCTATAACAAATCAATGTGGTATGCTGTAGATAAGTTATTGAGCTTATAAATGTCTCCTCTCCACCTCTCAGCCTAAGATTGAGTGGTTGAAGAATCAGATGGTCATCGGTGACGACCCCAAGTTTCGGCAGATCTCTAACCAGGGCATTTGCTCCCTCGAGATCCGTAAGCCCTGCAGCTTCGATGGCGGCGTGTACACCTGCAGAGCCAAGAACGCCCAAGGAGAGGCCACTGTCTCCTGCAAACTGGAGGTCAAACGTACGTATCTACAGACAAATGAAGGAAAACATTTTCAGTGAACATAGTCAGAATCTATTTATTATATCTATCTATTTTTAAACTCTTTACTGGAATGGTAGCTTGATATTTAGCACACAGACATGAGAGTGGGATCAATCTTCTCATCTACCTCTCAGCAGGAAATAAGGGTATCTCCCAAAATGTCAAACTATTCCTTTAAATTTGTTTGACCCTGCTTTGGTCCCAGTCGTTAATTCCAGTTTTCACAATGTTTTACCAAACATGATAAATGTAACAATATACCGATCTTAAATCCATTTAACAAACATAAATAAACTGCATCTTTCTCTCCCAACAGAGATTATTCTTCCAGAGGCAGATAAGGAGAAGGGCAAATAAACTGACACCCAGACCTCCAGAGGTAAGGAACAGAGAGAAATATCCATTCTTGTTCAGTCAAACACACGGACATCACACTTGTGGGAGCAAATTTTATCGCTGTACATTTCCTCATAAATAACATCCTTTATTCAAGTGCTACTACCATCACTAACACTCTGATAAATAAATAAAAACTATTGTAGTGTTCTTAAACTCATAGCATCAAATTAAAAATGAAAAACTAACGTGTCCTTCCCTCTCCTCTAACATGTGTCGCCCCACTTCTGCACCCTCCTCCTCTGTACATCTTGTCCATCGCATGCCCTGCTTTTGGATGTGGTAATGTGGCAAGGATTAATGTCAGTCAAATGGAAATACCAAATTTGATGTTTTTACAACTGTAACAGTTCTATTTTTACCCTTACTATTAGGCAGCCACGTTTGGGTTTTTAATATGGGACCTTCGTTTAAGCTTTTTAAATACTTGAGTGGTGTAGCCTTTCAAGGAGTGTCGGGAGGCTTTGCTTGCACTGTCATTTCGACTGCTGACAGGAGAAGCCCCATTAAAGTATTTTTTTTTTTAAAAGCACGAAGTGGTGAGAGAGGGTAAAAAGGTGAAAAAGACAAAAAACAAACATTTTAGCAGGGCAGAATGATGAGACAATTGACAGAGGGATGCACATGATAGATGATGGTTGTAAAGGGGTTAAAGAGTGAAGGATAATGGTTTTATATTACTGTGAAGAACATACCACGGGTTATTTTTACGGCAGTGTGAAACATTATTACTTTTCATGCCCGCTGTACATTCAGAACACGTGAACAAGGGACCAATTACATGATTTAAATTGTTTTTAGATCATCTCTCTCCTTTGCCCTCCCTTTCTCTCCTCTTTTCCCCTCTCCGCTTACTGACCTCCTCCTTAGCATAAATTGGACCAGAATCTGACTACATTAAAACGCACATTAATGAAGTAGCACATTTATATGTGCTGCTTTTAGCGTGATTAGTCTACGCCTCCAGTGTGCATGCAATATTTTCATTATTTACCCCCATCACATTTATATGCACTTATTTGTGGTAGTTTTTCATGGTAGCTTTTGATCGAGGGTGCAGCGAGTAAGGAAAATGTTCTGGGTTTTTCTTTGTTTTATTGTAAATGTGAGTTTAAACTGCTGTTCCGTTACATTGTAATACATTTATTCATTTAGCTGATGCTTTTATCCAAAGCAACTTACAATTGCTATGTATGTCAGAGGTCGCACGACTCTGGAGCAACTAGGGGTGTCCTGCTCAGGGACACATTGAACCTGGGTCTCTCACACCCCAGGGATGTGTCTTATCCACTGTACCATCACCACCACCAACCCCAACAACTGTCACTTACATGCACATGTGCACACATTTGCACGTGATCACTTGGGTATCCATGACCAAGTGATCATCTTTCTCCATCAAGAATCTTGCTGTTGCAGCTGGATTATTCTTAAATCACAAACACATGTAAAGGGAAGACACCGTTGCTTTTTACATTTTGGAAATTAGACTACTGCATTTTTAAAGGAGAAGGCTGGCAATAATCTATTTTCTAATTTTCCAACCTAACCAGCCTGTCTGTGCCTCCCAGCCCCAAGGAGATTTGTTCCTAGTTGACATCATTAATAGTTACATTTTACACTTGGACCCTTAGAGGAAGATGTCATTTTTGGTACTTAACCTTGAATATAGGGCCTCAATTCCTTGTCTGAGTTGTTTTACATGAGCACATAAACTGGATGCAGTTGTTGTGCTACATGCACACTGCAGAGTTGACCTTCAGCATGGTCAGGGACACATATGTTCACACTGTACTGCAAATGAGGTCCCACCCCCCATCTCCTCCCCACGAACTGGCTCAAGTGATTGGATCTTAATGCATCCTTGATGTGTTTGGATGCATTCACATGTGTATTTACAGCTGTCCACTTGTGATCAGATTACCAAAGGCGCATTTTCATGCCAAATGTAAACTGCGCCCTATAGATGCCGTGATCGCTCTTGTGGGTCTGCACAGAGTGTGAGGACGCGGGCTCCCAGCCGGCATAGCCATACATGGGAGGGCCCCACAAGGGGAAAACGAGGGATTAGGTAGGGAGCGCCTTTGGGTGGGGGTTACCGGGGTGATGTCAGCGCGGTACTCCGCAGCTTCTAAAAATGACTCCAGATGACGTGACCCAAAGTCAATCTCTTCACATTACCATGAGTCAACAGGCCGAATGGAGTGCTGTGAGAAGAAGGGAGAATGGGCTAAGGGGGCAGAAACCGAGCCAGATAATCCTCGATGGAAAATACGCTGTGGATATCTCTCTCTCACACACACACACACGTACAAAACCTCTCTCACACACACACTTTCTCTCAGAACATTCCTGACTGAAGTGATTATTAACACCTCATGGCCCCATTTATCAATCTTCTTGCTTTGATTATTCCACCAGTGCTTTTAAAGGACCAGCAGAGGTCCAGGTCTTGTGTTTTAAGTGAGTTTATATGTGTGTGTCTAGGAGCCCACATTCTGTATATCCATCTAACCCTTTCTCTATGTCTCTCTTATCTTGTCCAGAGTGTTTGAAGATATGGAGAAAACATTGTGGCTGGATGTGCAGCAGTGTGTACATAATGAAGAAGGGGACAGAACAACATACCAACATATCCATTTCCTCCCCCACACACACCCAGACTCACCCACTCCTTCCAGTATGCGGGGAAGACCCATGCCACCCAAACCATCCCAGTTTGCCAAATGTTACATGTCATTTTAGCTGCTGAGTTCAATGTCAGGCTATATTTGCCATTGTTTTTCTCTGCCTGTGCCCATGTGCTGTTTGTTGTAGTATGTGTATGTACTACCTAATAAAACAGTCAATCCTTGGACATGCTAATGCAATCACTGTATGGATGGTGTAATAAAAATTGTATTTTATTATATGTTATGTATTATGGATTTCTACACACGTCATTATAATTTTATAATGAAACAGCCCTCGTATATAGACACATCTGCTGGTTTTGAAGATGTGGGATAATGATTAAAGGGATGGTTGGTCCAAATTACAAAAAGTGGTATCTAGCCATGCAGAGGTTTTTATGAAAGCCACCTCATTGGTAGGTAGTGAAATTTTTTGTTTGTGTTGCCTAAATCATTATAAGAAAAACCTCAACGTCTCTTTTCAACAGTTACTCAGGATAATTCTCAAACTATGCTGTCAACTATTTTTATTAGTCCTACATTTTACCAAATAAATAACAGACGTCATAGTGTCTTTATCTGTAAAACTCAGCACGTAAAACCAAAACTGTCTGCTTGGCAAGACACCAGCAGTGATGAGGGCTTTTTTGATTGATTGGGTGAATGGACCCTTTAAATTATTATATTGCTATTTGCTTTAAGGTGACTAGCTTGTCAAAGGTGGGTTGAGGTTGCCAGAAGACGTTTCGCCTTAAATTTCATCAAACTTCCTGAATCCTGCTGGGGTGTGTTGACCAGGGTTGTTGTGCAGGTAATGACTGACCAAATAATCACAGGTAATCCAAGGGAGAAACAAGACAGGTAACATAAATCTAAACATAATCTTTAAAAACAATATTAAAGTACAAAAAACTCGGCTCAAGTAAACTTTGATGAAAAACCTTTTACCTTGCACCACAGATAAGCCTTAACATGATCTCTCAAGTCCCTCTTGTTTTATAAAACGTGACAGATCCACAGCAGGGCACTAGTATTTTAAAAGGGTGGGGGCTTTTGCTACTTAATTTACTAGAGGGTGTTTACACAACTACAAAATGTTATGTGTTATAGCCCCCTGAAGAAATTCAGATTGAATCACAGGTCAGGTGGCTGCTCTACTATCAGACACTACTGACCTATAGTATGTCTGCCAGCACAGCAACTAAAATTTGTCACCCTAACTAAATAGTATATAGTAACATAGTATATAGTATAGTAACAATCTGACCACCATAAAGGAACAGTTTAGGATAATAGCCATGAAAGTAACATTGTTGGCAATGATAAAGCTTTCTCAATCTGATGGGTCATGGAAATGGGTGTATCACTGGCTTGCCCAGAGCCCTGATAACCCAAACAGTAACAGCTAGTGTTATAGTACTGGAGTCTTACTGCTTACTTTTTACAAAAGTTTTGGTTGTGTAAAAAGAAGTTGGTTTATTTAGTAACACTAGATGCAGTAGCATGTCAGTGTAGGCCTACGAGTTTGTGTAAAACTGCTAATTTGATGTGCTTTAAATAATAATACAGTATACCGAGGGACTCAGAGGCGTGGTTGGGTTATACTGACACCTAATGGTGAGTAGCTATAGTGAAAATAACCACATCACAGAAATAACGCCTCATCTCAGCCAGCCATAGAGCTACAGGAAATCTTACTTTACCACAAGGTGTTGTAATTTAAGTGCTTTCTTCTGATGTAATCATACTTAATAGCCAAAATACATAACTTGTGACAACTTAACGTCAAATGTGTGCATGTAAGTATTACATCAGTGGGAATTAACTTCTTTTCATTTGCATGTCTCGAAATGATTTTCAACTGAAGGGGTAAGGATGTCGTTGTGATGTTTGTGGTTTACTGGCTGAGTTGTCTTGGTTCACTTATGCGTAAAAAAAAACAACTTCCGCTCATGTCACCCAAATCACGTCACACCTACAGGTTGAAAAATATCTACTCTGAAACTGCACCAAGGTAAGATAGTTAGGCCGGGATGGTTTGAGAAAGAGATTTGGTTTTAGTTCTGCTCAACCTGCTTGTGATTCTGTTACCAGAAAATAAAATGTGTCAGGCAATCTTGACATTCTACATTTTTTAAACTGGAGGGGAAACCCCTCTTTTAAACAGGCACAGTACACAATAAACACAATATTTGTTTGGTTTCAAACACAATTAACAAACTTGTCTTGCACATTGTTTCCGTTTTCCTTACATTTTTCAGCACAAATCATCAATGCATGTTGAGAAGTCAAACATCTGAGTGTGGTTGACCAACATATTTCCTGTTGCTTAAACAACAAAAAAGGCAGATGTCAGAGAGACAGGAAAGCTGTTGTCCTGAGGTGAGTTTAGAAATTAATTTGTCACACGCCCATGTAGTCTGCAGTCTTGTTTCCTTTACAGAAGTTCTCTACACAGCAGATATATGACTCAACTCAGCAACCCAGCCTCTACATGTGCAGCTCAATGGAAAATGTGGCTTATCGGCGTCTTCAGTGTCATATGTAAGTTTTTCGTCAATTGCATTTATTTTATAGCAATTTATGTGATGAACAAAGAATATTTTCTTGTACTTTAAAACACACACACTCTCACTCACCTTCATTTGATCTGACAGATTTCGCTGCTGTTTGTGCAGCTCAGAGTACTGGATATGGTAAGAAACATGTCAGACACACTGGCAAGACATTACAATGTATTTTATGCACATTGCACTCATTTTAAAATAGCAGTTACAAACTAATTTTGATCAACAATAAAAGCGTTAAGCTTCAAAGCAGTACGTTTTCTTATTCACCCAAAATACACAATAAATAAGGAAATATCCTGTTTCCAAGTTAACTTTTGTGATATAAAACTAATTTACCTGGTGTTAAATATTTTGTTTGCTTGTACTAAATCAGAAGAAGGCAAAAAATAATGTTCAGGAAGTAAAACATGAGGAAAGTTAACATGCGGAACATGAAGTACTTTGTTGTCATGAGTCTGGCAGTTCCTATAATTACAGGCCTACCAGTGCAAGTTCATATTTCACTATTCTGTAGTTCATCTTTAAACGTGGTTAGCTTTTCTAAACTGTAATGCCACTGTTCTTGTGTCATCCAATAGTATATGTGGTGGATAAAATAACACTTGATAATGTCCTTTGTAGTCCTGCAATGTGTGTGAATAGTAATCTCAGAGGGGTTTCAGTATTTAACTGCATTTTCTTGTCAGGCATTCCTGTTATTTTGTCCACCCCTTGTGTAGTATAACATTGGCTATTCCAATCCCTGCGTCAGCTCAATATAAGCTTAATTTAATTTGGTTTAAATTCAGTAAATTACTGCAGCTCTAAATTAATTATTACTACTATTGCTGTTCAAATTTCTGCTTATATTTCCACCTGTGATGTAGGAAGAGCACAAATGCAGGCTGTTCTGATCTTAATTCTGTTCCCTACATCTCTCCTCTCATCCAACAGCCACCAGCACTGTCCCTCCAACCAGCCTTCTGTCAACAGCAAGTCCAACAATCTATGGTGAGATTTTAATTTCAGTTAAAGAACTGAAAGAACATCAATCTGAAAGAGTTAGCATGCATAATAATAATGCATCCTCATTACATTTTGAAAGGCTTACATTTGGAATCCTGTTGATTTAATAGTGGAAAGACGTTACTTCCTGAAATCAAAAAGCAAAGATGATACATTTTGTAAGGCCTTAATGAGAAAATCCATCCATAATGAATAGGTACTTTTGTAAATTTTGGATAGTAAATCATACAAACACAGATGTATGAGAAATCAGAGCTTAAAAAATGCTATGACTTTGACAGTAAGTCTTCCAAGCTGTGAATTAGCAAATGTCACCTGTGAAATCACCACGGCCGTTGTCAAAAGGTTCTTGCAGATACTTTACTGACTGTTGTAGTTTATATAGTTGACATCATCACAACAAATGGTCTCTGAGCCTTTAAGAAGATGCCTGTTAAAATTTGATAAATTAAACTGAACTGTAATAATATATTATATATATTTGAAGAATTAAAATGTTAATTAAAATATTTCTTTATTATCTGAATGTAATTAATAATATCTTTAAAACATTCCCAGAGCCTCCCATACCATCTCTGCAGCTACAGTCAACCTGGTTGGATGTGTTCCCTTCTGAGAAAGTGGAGTTCAAGTGTAGCATCAATGGCAACTCTGACTGGACCTTCATCTGGTACAAAAATGAAGAGAAACTACAAGATTCAGATCCAAATGTGTCTTTTTCTCCGGACGGATCTGTGCTTACAATTACTGCAGCTCAAACATATTCTGGAAATTATTCCTGTAATGGTCAACACAAATCAAAGGACATTCGCGCTGCAAATAGTTCATCACTCACACTCACAGTTAATGGTAAGTTTCATGTGTTCACCCATATTTTTGCAGACTGTCTAGACAGTAGTTAATATCCTTATTGAAATGGCCAATTTTTTTGTTTCTTCTTTCTGATTAGCAAACAAGCCCAAGCCCACTTTAAGCCAAAGTCTGAACTATGGCAGGATGTTCATCGGAGAGTCTGTAAACTTCACATGCAAGGTCGACAAGTCTTCGGGATGGGAGTATCTATTTTACCATAATGGAAATGAAATTCAAGTACCTGATGTTCATTATGCCATAGATTCTATAGATCATCCTAACAATGGAGAGTACCACTGCAAAGCCAAGAGAGGCAAAGGCCCATTTTACACAGAGGAGAGTGAAAAAACAACTCTGCTGGTCTCTGGTAAGCTATGAACTTAATCACTTTGTCACCAGCTAAGTCAAACTGCACTGCAAAGAGTATGACCACATCATTCATGTCTACTACATGAGCCTTTATGCACACATCTATAGTACTTTCATCTGTGAAAGTAGAAGTTTAGATGATGCACCCTTCTGATTGTATGTAGTTATTTTATTTGGGTTTGATCTTAAATTTCTTTCAAGACTTTTAAGATTTCTTTGCGATGCTTATTTTCAGACCCACCCAAACCGTCTCTAAAGCTGCAGACTGCCTGGCCAGATGTGTTCAAAGGTGAAAAAGTGGGGTTCAGCTGTGGAACCAGCAGCCCGGACTGGAATATTATCTGGTACAGAAATCAAAAGCAGCTCCAGGAGGACTCAGTGCTTACCATGGAGGAAGAGGTGCTCAACATCACCTTGGCCGATCCAACCCATCAAGGAGGCTATGCCTGCAAAGCTCATCTTGAAACCAGGGGGGTCACCTCTGGATTTAGCAACACAGTTGATGTCACAGTTTATGGTGAGCTTTCATGCCCCTGTATAGCATTACATACACTTTACATGAATACAGCTATCTTAAAGAAAGAGTTGGAGAAAGCATATATCTGTAAGCTAAATATAAAACCACTCTAAACAGCCAGTAGATTAGCATAGCTTTGAGCCTGGAAGCGGGGGGCTAGTCTTGACTGCCCCAAATGTAACAAAACCTGCCAGCACCTCTAAAGCACACTTTTTAACATGTCATATCTTGTTTGTTTAATCCCTACAAAAAACAAACTGAAAATGACGTGGTTTTATGGTAGGCTATGTGCTGGACTCTTTCTTGGCTTGGAACAGTGATTTGCTTAAGTCCTCTTTTCACTGTGAGATTGCCGGGCTGGTTGGGCTGGTTGGTACATTTGGACAGAGCCAGGCCCCATGGATGCATTGGAGAGTCCTTATAATACAGCCATGGTTTCCCTTTGTTTTGTTTTAGTCTTTTTTTGTGCTAACTTTAGCTAACTGGCTGTTAGCAGTAGATTCATTTACCACAAAGACAGATATAAGAGTGGTATAGATCTTCTCAACTCTAAATATTAAATATAATAAATATTGTTCTTAAACTCTCTAATCTCTTCCTAATGTCAGTAGCCTATTCAACTTGATTAAAAGAAGAATACATTTGGGTGGTCAAATGCTGATATATGTGACTGCTTCTCAAGTTTTGGGGTTGTAGCAGTAATATGGTGTGAACTGCTTTTCTGTTTTAGAAAAAATACCAAAACCAACACTTAGCAAGAAACCTGATTTGAATACGACGTATGTTGGAGAAACGGTGAACTTCACTTGCAAAGTTGATGTGTCCTCGGGCTGGGAGTATCATTTGTACAAAGACAAGAATCTCCTTGCCCCCAGCAGCCCCCGTCATGAAATCCGTTTTGGTGCTGCTGAAGAGGGGCAGTATTGGTGCAGGGCCACAAGAGGTGTAATATCAACAGACGACAGTGAGAAAATAACACAAGTTGTCCTTGGTAGGTAAAAACAGCAAAGTGATGTTATTTCAAGCACTGTGTTTACAGTAAGAAAATGTGTCGTAAATATGTAAAATGCTAATCATCTATTCTATGTACATTAAATCATTGTTTTATTTTGTCCTGGTGCTGTCACCAAAGGTTTCAAGAACCTACAGGCTGCTCTTGAATTTGGTGAAAGAGTATTTTCAGCGTCTTGCTTCCGTTATTTTATGCATTTTCTGTTGAAACAGGAAGTGGTGGTGTAGCATAACGCACGGAGGGATGGCTCAGAAGTGTGTACTGTATTTGTACCCATATCAGTTTTATGTACGGGAAGGAGTGCTAGTATCGGCCCATGAAATGAAACTAGTCAGAAATAACTCATTTTTACAACTTCACACATGCTACCGTTTTAATTTAATTTTAATTTTAAACTTGTTCTCAATGTTTAGAGGACAAAATCTAACTAAAATCCCACTGTTTATGAGCTCAGTCTATAGTTTTACATTTTGAGGTATTTTTGTTGTGCAGCTGTTAAGAAACTTGTTCCTGCTTCCTTCACATTAATACTTGAAGTCCGTGCTTTCTTCTCTAAATCACATGAATCATGGAATATTGTGGTTTGAGTTGACTTGGTAGCATGGGTGCCTCGGTTGACTGGCCTGTCTTCACACATTGTAGACTGCCATTGTAAATGTGAAGTGTTCTTGGGCAAGATACTGAACCCCGATTTGTTGTTCTGCCAGTGTATGAATGAGTGTGAATGCTAGTTTCCGTTTGAGCACTTAGGCTCAGTGTATGAATGTGTGTGACTGGTGAATGCAGATGTAGTGTAAAAGCGCTTTGAGTGGTCGAAAAGACTAGAAAGGCGCCATACAAGTACGGAGCATTTACATTTAAATCTGCTTCTGTCTGCGTGTGTTCTTATATCTTTAGAAGAATCTGGTGGTATTTCCAAGAATCTGGTGGTATTTCTTGTTGTATTCATTAAGTTTCTGTATTTTGTTGTTGGATCACAAGACAAATTCACTGAGGATCTATTTTTTAAATGACTATTATGTGATGACTATTTAGTATTCAAGTGATCATAACACCCAATATGTTGTCCTCTTTTATGCAAGCTTGATTGATATAAGCAAATGCAATAATTATGCTTTTGCTTATACCTTTCTCAGGCTTTATACTGTATGGTAAAATCAAATGCAACCAGGTTATCTCAGAGGATATGAAGAGGGACTGATGTGCCTCTCTCTCCCTAGAAATTCCTGTTCCATCTTTGGAGCTGATAACACCTTGGTCGGATGTGTTCCCTGCTGAGAGTGCGAAGTTGCGCTGTGGGATAAACGGCAGCTCTGACTCGTGGACATATACGTGGTACAAAAATGGACAGGAGATCCAGCCTGATAATGTTGTGTCTTTTGACTCGAATAGAGCTACTCTTTCCATCAGCTCTGCTTCAGCTAACCATGCGGGAAAATATGAATGCAAGGGGCACCTGAAGGACAGGTCCGTCATTAGCCACCCTAGTCCTCCACTTGATCTCACAGTATATGGTGAGTTTCCTTTTTTTAGTTGCACAAAAATACAAATAATTTAGCTAAATCTGCAAACAGGGGGATAAATATCTGTTTAAGGCACATCTAGTGAAACGCTAGATTGTTTTTACACTGGATGCATTGTGCATACTGATGGCAATGACATATTTACTTACTCAGATCAAAAACCCAGTGTCATCCTGACACAGGATCCAGACTACAATGTGATGTTTGATGGGGAGTCAGTCTCCTTTAGCTGTCACATAAACGTCTCTTCTGGATGGGAGTACCAGTGGTACAAAGGTGACCGTAAACTCATCATATCTGGAAACAGTCACACCATCAAAACTGTTGCAGGATCAGACACTGGATCATATAGTTGCCAAGCTAAAAGAGGAAGTAATACAGTCTTCAACTCAGACCAGAGTCAGGTTGTAACACTCGACATAAAAGGTACGTTTTTGTTTAATTCCTCCAAACCTTTATTTGTAGTACGCAGGTCACTTTGTATTTCTGCAGTGCATCGCTGATCACTTATTATGCTATTATCTGGTTGGTCAGATGTTTTAAAGTACAGTTTAAATAGAGCAACTCTTGATATCACAAAGTGTACACTGATGCACATCTTCTTTATGTATTCAGAGGACAAGCCTAAACCCTTGCTGACTCAACATCCAGACGCTGACAACATGTACACCGGAGAGTCAGTGTCCTTCGAATGTAAAGTTGAACTCTCGTCTGGTTGGGATTACCTCTGGTACAAAAATGGAAAAGCACTCTCTATCAACAGCAGTCATTTTAGCATTAATCCTGCCAATTTGTCTAACACCGGAACTTATGTGTGCATGGCCACAAGAGACAAAACAATGTACAACACGACGCCTAGTGATAGTCGGAAATTAAACATAATTGGTGAGCCAAAGAACTGTTTATTGTTTAGAGGAATAATTCTGCCTTCATCTGTGCTTATTGATTGCATGCTATAAAATACAAAGAGGATATCTTTCAGGATATTAGAAAGTGCCTAATGTGTCTGTTTCTGTTTAGACATTCCTGTTCCTTCTTTGAAGCTGATGACACCGTGGTTGGATGTGTTTCCCAGTGAGAGTGTGAAGTTTCGCTGTGGAATGGATAGCAGCTCTGACTCGTGGACATATTCATGGTACAAAGATGGAAAGGAGCTCCAGGCTGATGTTGTGTCTTTTGACAAGGATAGAACTACTCTTTCCATCAGTTCTGCGTTGGCCAAACAGCATGGGCATTACAGCTGCTCCGGAAAACTGAAGAGCAGGTCTGTCAGCAGCAAACATAGTTCGGGTCTAACACTTGATGTTTACGGTGAGATTTGTTTCTTCCTTTTTGACAGTTCTTTAGAGAAATCTTTTGTAATCACTTGTTTTATTTTGACTCCTTGTCACACTGGAAGAGGTGGCCAGTGTCAATCCTACACTAAACAAGATGTCATTTTAAAGAAAAGGTTTGACATTTTGGGAAGAGAGTTAGATTAGAAGAGCGATACCCCTCACATATCTATCCTGTTCAGTTTGACGCCAGGAGATGGTTAGCGTAGCTTAGAATGAAGACTGGAGGCAGGGGGAAACAGCTAGCTGGTGGTTGCCTAGCGACCTAACTCTAACAAGACTCCAGGAAATCCGCACATAACCTCACACTGAACCACAAAATGTTGTTTTTACGCTCAGGTTTTTGTACAGATAAAACAAATGTGCTATAACATGTTAATTATTAAGGAGGTTGTTTTTACCTTTGGACAGAAACAGGCTAGCTATTTCCCCCTGCTTCCAGTCTTTATGCTTGTCACTTTATATTTTATGGACAGATAAGAGAGTGGTATCAAGCTTGTCATCTAACTGTCAGTAAGAAAGCAAATTAATGTATTTTCCAGTTTGTCTAACCATTTCATTAAATAAACTGACTGACTGGTTTTCTTCTTCAGGATACATGTTTCATTTTGTAAAGGAAATAAAAGATAAAAGACAGCTTCTCCTTACCCTGGGCTGTGCAGTGTGATATACATTAAAATGCTGTCTAATAGCAGTGGCATTATTATCACCCCCCAGATACGAAACCCACAGTAATACTGACGCAGAATCCTGAGCACGATGTGATGCACACTGAAGATTCAGTCTCCTTTAGCTGTCACATTAATATCTCCTCTGGATGGGAGTACCTATGGTACAAAGGTGAAAATCAACTCACCGTATCTGGAAACAATCACACCATCAAATCTGTTGTGACATCAGACTCTGGGTCATATAGATGCCAAGCTAAAAGAGGAAAGGATACAGTCTTCAAGTCAGACCAGAGTCAGGGTGTAAAACTCATAATTGAAGGTACGTTTTTTTTTACTTCCCTGTTAACATTTTTTTTGTATGTGCACGTGTTGAATGTCACAACTTTGATTGTGTTTCTACAGAGCGCCCACAGGCTCATGTAATCCTGTTAACTGGCTGGTCCGAGGTCTTCTCCACTGACAGTTTGGTGCTCAAATGTGTGGTGCAGGATAGCCAGGACATTTGGAACTACACTTGGTAGTAGTCACAAAAAACACCAATTAATACTACAGAATAAAGTTTTCTAAAGTCATTTATATGTGTACCATGTGGATTCTCACATTTCTGAAAATTCAAACTTGCAAAAATTTAACAGGTCCAAAGAGAATGAACGTATTGATGTGCCAACCTCTGAGATACATAGAGTCACACCCACAAATGATCCTGCACAGAGCCAATACACCTGCCAGGGCAGTCGCACCGGTAGACCATCTTATTCGAAACCCAGTGATTCTTTTAAGACCAAGAACCTTCGTGAGTAAAACAGAGGTCTGGAAGTTATGCATTTTTACCCTACAATTGTTCTTTCTCATTCCATTATGTTTATATATTTAATCTGTAGTTTTGAAGAGGAGGGTGCTTCTTTCCATCTCTGGCTGTATCTTCTGTGGCATCATCGTGGTCTTCCTTGGATGCATTGTCCTGAGGGTCATCCGCAAACGAGGTTTGGCTTTTGTTTTGGGGACTTTTTGAGTGCATGGATTATAAAAATGTTCATTATTAAAGTAGCTATAATCAATATTATTGAAGTAACAATTTATCAATGACAATGTGAAAACAACATGACAATGTGGTTGCTTGTAGTGGTAAACCTACACAGAATTATCACCCAATTCTCCAGCTCTGCTTGGCTTTTCTGAGCAATTTCAGCTCAGTGAAAACTCTCTAAAAACAAGCTGTATACTACCTGCCTGGCACCGAACATCAGACATGCGCAATTAGTGACTAGCTGATGAACATAGTGGAACATTTAGCAGCTAAAGGACCAGATATTTCCCTCAGTAGTTGATAAAGACCTAAAACAGAGTGAATATTGGACAGAAACTTTACTCCAAATGAATGATAATGTTTTTGCTACTGGATTTGTAAATAAGAAACTGTTTGCTAACACGTTTGCCACGTCAACTTAAATTGTGATGAAATGTTGATGGATGTTGTATTCACACTTTGTTTCCGCTCTCCCAAGAATTTATATCATCTCAAATTACTGTGACTTATTTTTTTCTTATCACATAGGTGATGATGATGATAAGCCAGAAGAGGCAAACCTTTTTCTCAGCATGGCCCAGCTAAAGGACCGTAATGGTATGTTGACACCACCTCTCGTGGTTTGTGGTTACGGTCAACATTTCCGCATCTGCTGCACCACCAGTGATTCATTTCTCAAGTAGTTGGTATTCTTGAAATTGTCTGTGTAACTACCTGTTGACAGTTTGACTCTTTTATAGTTTGTCTTTAGCCATTGGTGCTCTTGTTTTAAAGTTCCTTCCTCCGCCCCGCAGATGCACCCTGTCCGCTGGTTGACTACATCACCGATGAAGCAATTAATGATTTAGCTAAAGGTAAAGAACCCACAGATGAGTGAAGCATATGATACAAAAACTATAAACCAAACATTTTGAGAATTCCCTTTGTTTATCCCTTACTGAAATCTTGGTTTCTTTTTTTTTTAAACAACTTGACCAGAAGAAGGGGGTGAGAATGGCACTGTTTGCAGTGAAACAACACCATTACCAATAACCTCGCAGGAGGACCAAGGTAACAAAGTTATATTATATGTGGACTTTTTCTCTCTGATGACAGGTGTTGTGCCAATGTCTTATAACTGAAACCATAATGTATTTCTAATCCATCTTTCCACTTCTCGCCCTTCTTGTGTTCTAGCTGCGGCAACTGAGGGCCATGATACAACAGAAAGCGACGGTGGGCTGGTTTCCTTTAAACAATGAGTCACTGAAGCTCTCTTTGCACCAGTTTAGATAAGTTGAGATACTAAGAGACTCCGATAATCATTAACAAGTCTATAGAGTTGCTACAGCCCGGTGAGGCTCATTATGTACCAGAAAACAAAAGTTTGGCTGTATGAAAACTGGAGAGACAATTTCGCTATTGTGCAATGCTTACCATTAGGGCGAAAGAGGAAAGACCAAGATGTGTACACTGGTCAGCAGAAGACATCTAAGACTCATCTCTACATGGTCAGCCTCAGCTGTGCTTTGACCTGAACGCTAAGGTTCTAAGGTTCACTATGTTAGCCATACCACCCATCCATCCATTAGCTATATACGCTTATCCTTGAGGGTTTATATGATAATCATCAATCATATACTGTACATTTTTAGCTCTCAATTATTGTATCCACTGTACATATGTGATGATCTGTAGGATCATTTTTCAATTCCTACAGCAAACACCAGATGTCAGTAGATAGTAGTTAGCTTATTTAATGTTGTTAATGGTTCAGCGTTGAATCTTATAGGCAATCAGTTGGATATTGTATGATATATTTATATACAATAAGTGATGCTGTATAAATGCCATTCAAGCATTTTGTGTCTCCCTATGAACTTAGCAAAATAAAAAATACAAAATGTTGCCACGACTGTTCATTCAAACTAATACTGATCTGCACCAGTAAATATGACCGCAAGAAACACACGTTTAACCAGTGGGAATTTGACAAGAAGGTCGATTTTGTGGTCACGTCAGTGGGGAGATCTAGTCCATCATGTGCTCCTGTAACAAGACAAGGGACAAAAGACAAACATTATCCAGACAAACATTTAAATCCAAAGCTTTTTATTAAGAATAAAGCATGTAGGCCCAGAACACACACAATACTTACCAACTCACATCTACTTGAGGATATCAGCCAGTTTCTCCATGTAGTAGTCGTAGTTCTCCTGACAATCCTCCCAGGGTGTAAAGCTCTGGTCCTCCTTCTCCACATACGTTTCCCAAACATGTAGGAAGTCAGACGGCTTCATCATCCGCAGCTTGCAGCCGGCACTCACCAGAGCCCGGAGCCCTTCCACTATCTCCGGCTGCTCCCACTCAAAGAGACGGGAGCAGAATATGCAGAGACGGACCTTTTTGCGCTGCTGGAGGATGTTGGCCAGCTTGGATGCACAGGCTACACAGGGACTGGATGATACATACCATGTGACTTCGCACTCTTGGGAAGTGTTAGGGAGCACCTGGAAAGGAAAGAGTGGAGATAGATGGAGTCAAAGAAACTAATATTTTACATATAACACAAAAAGTGCTTGAAAACTATAATGAAACTGACCTCCTGTGGGGTTCACTTGTGTGTAACATTCTATAGTAAGAAAAGCTGAATGTGAGCGTCCATTACCTGTTGAAAGAATGCCTCTTCAGCATGAGCTGTGGCATGTTCATCCTCCATATAACCTTTCAGAGGCTCTGTGCTGCCTCCTGGTGTATCCACTCTGAAGCACAGGAGGGTCTTGTTCCTCCCTGATGAGTATTCCACATTCCTGAACTGAAACTTGAAGTAGAACGGACTCATCTGTTCTCTGGTGGAGATTGAAAGTGAGAGTTTTCTTAAATCTAATATGAAGTTGCCTGTTTTCTCGTCAGTGAACACCAAACACCACACGCCAAGCACTAGCTGTCATTATCATTGGGGCTCCTTAAGTGCATGATGCTCAGGTTAGCGTGAAACAGTGAAAAAACCATCAGCATGATTATCTATCAACAGTGCTTTCAAAGTAATCTGTCTGTGAATGCCGATCCAGGTGACACTAACACCAAGAGCATGAGTCACTCATTTTGTGAAGCATTTGTCAACCATCCAAGACACAGTAAAAGAGTAATGATGGTGAGTCTTCGATATAGACTGTGGTGACACAGTGGATGGAATATTAATGAGGCAACTGCTGAGTAAACTGATGTTTCTATAAATATTTTTGGCTTTCACATCATCCCACAGTCTGTGGATGTGCCAGTCCACTGTAAAAAAACACATACCCATTCTGTCTGAATATATCCATTGTTATATTGTACATGAATAGCCAGATGAACTACATAAATAGATTTCTTATAGCTTTGATATCAAACACAGAGGACAAAGACTGGGGAACAGATGCTAGGCAGAGTGACTCATCCCTATTCTTACTGCTGGGTTAGTAAAGAGGGCAGGTGCAAGTCATTACTATCCTTCCTCACTGAAATCAACTATAGACCATGAATTGGGAACTCTATGACTTGGAGAAAGACATGAAAAACTACTTCAACTACAAAGTGACCAAAAGTGGGTATGTTAAAAAGCTGTATCACAAACTGTCTCTCACTCTTGTGGCAGAGGTATTAAATCTTACCCACCCTGTGACAATCTCAAATGGTGGCAGCTCTATGGGCTGAAACTCTCCATTTTCTTCACTGTTAACAGCCTCCGCTCCTGTTGCCCCTCCACTTTCCCCATTTGTCTTCTCTTCGTCCGTCTTAGGCTTCTCAGGCGTCGTCTCAGTTTTTTTCACTAGCTTGTCAGGCCTTTTTACGATCTTCTCCTTCCCCTTTTCCTTCTCCTTGTCCTTCTCGTCATTTGTTTTGTTTTCCACCTTCTTCTCTTTCTTCTTAACACTGACCCGGCTGTTTCTGTCCGCCATGATTTTGGGCAAGTGGGTGAGAGTGTTGTGATAAAGAGAGGGCGGGAGAGAGCGAGAGAGATCGCTCTCAGTGTAAGTGGAGTGATAACCCTAGTGCATACACAGAAATAGATCCTATTGTGTGCTATGGTTGGAGTCATGTGCATGTCTGGCCGAGGCAGGCCCCCCTTCCATGCCATGGCTGTTAAAAGGCCAAAGGACAACACAAGAGTGAGCACCCATGTGTTGCATGATGAAGGCAGGGCAAGACTGGACTTATATCACTTACACACTTTATACAGTTGGCAAATTGAGTAAGGAAGTACCTTATTCTATGTATAAATGTACAATTTCAAACACAAGTGGTAGCGCTTTTTTCCACCAGGCTTTAACTGTCAACAGGCCAGCAACAGGCAGGTTATAAATAACGATGCTTGGCGGTGTGTGTGTGTGTCTGTGTGTATGGGGTAACTAGGGCTCTCTTGATACTAGCACCACTTTTGTTTGTGCCAGATCCAATGTCCTGCAGCCCTTTAGGCCTTGGGAATACACCAAGGCCAGCTAAAGGGCACCCCAAATAGGGGAACATTGGGAGCAATGCAGTACAAACAGATACAAGCACAATGTGTAAGAGAGTATTTGTGTCTGTGCTATGAATAAGAGCACAGAAATGAAGTGTGGCCCAGTGTGCATGTGCGTGTGAACAATCAATCTATGAAATCACCCTGCATCAATATGGTTCTCTGCTGAGGCCATTGCATGGGGGAGGGGGAAAATTGGTTTTGTAAGAGTGTGCGTTATTTTTCTGTGTATGTGTGTCCATGTGCGGCCAGAAAATGGCTTTCTGCACTGCAGATGTAATAACTTGAGGCATAAGGGAGAGGGCGGGAGGGAGGGGGCAGTTCAATTACAATTTCCTCCCCTCCCTCAGTCTCACTCTCTGCCAAGTAATTCATTTCAGAGGCAATTACCAATAGGACCGTAGCGTCTAACTCATATGGATGAGCTGTCACAGCCTAGGGGTGGGGGGGTGGGGGGGAGATGCTTCAGGCTGCTCCACATGCACTCACAAAAAACAACACACCCCGTGGGAATGAGCAAAAACACATTTTTCACATGCGAACACACTGACACATCCACAAAGAAATCTAGCGACACATCTAAATCCACAGAGACATCCCAGGGTGAAAATCATTAAGATCATAGTGATTTTTGATAATTATGATCTACAGAGAGAAATCTCTTTGTATCTCACACAGATTAACACACTTCCTCTGAAGTGGTTTTAACCAACAATAAGAACAGCAACACTGGGATGCTTTTTTGCAGTTGGTGAAAAACAGACGTAGTCCTGGTGACCTTTGTAATCAGATCCATTCCATCACAGCCAGTCATCTTCAAACTGACTGATGCTGTTGTCTTACTGTTCATTATTAATAAAAACAACATGAATCAATGCATTGAAGCAGTTGGGGCCTTCTGATATAGAACAAAAGTACAGTAACTACATATAGCTTTCCATTTATTTCCATTTATTTATATGTACTTTCGTAATTCGTATAAGCCTGGTTGGCTTTGGAGAAAAGGGCCGTGTAGGATGTGACTGCTGCCTTCCTGCTGACTCAAATTTAACTATAATGGAATTACATGCAATTACCCTGCCTCCCCACTGGCCCAGCCCAGAGTAATAAGAGTCCCTGAATGAAGGCAAACACACACACTGCAACAATCCTTCTAAGCGATGCACTGCAAAGCGGTTTCAAAGTATTTCAGTGAGGTCAGACGAAGTAAAAGCCTCTTATTTGTGCCACGTGCACGCATCCTCTGCTAGTTTTCTGAGGCAGAAGCAGGGTCAGTACCTGAAAGTTCAGAAGTACAATTGGACATGAAATTGAAAAAGGGAGAGGGGGGTTGCTGATAAAAGTAAATGAAATGGAATTGACCTCTACTCTAAAAGAGCACACGTACAGTCATAAAGGACTAGCAAAGGAAAATATAAATGAATAAGGGTAAAAGTATGTGATATATGAAGCAGATTTCAGCATTTCTCCATTGCAAAAAAAAAACTTGTAACGTGCACACATGCATGAGTGCACTCCCATCTGCAAACTGCACACAACTGCATTTCATAAGTGAAACTCGTTTATTAGGATGTCCCAATGATGAGGCCTACATACAGAGACGAGAAAAAAGAAGTGGGTGATGCATTGACATATTTTTAGCAGCTAATGCCTTAGTCACAACCTATAGGGTTAATGCATATCAGTGAAAATAAATATGCTACAGTATGCGGTAAGTGACCATTTGGTTATTGTTGGTATGTCACTGCTGGTACATACACAAGCTGTGTTTGGGGATGGGAGGATAGAGAATGGGGGCTTTGTGGTCTTGTGGTTGTCTGGAGACCCTGTTCAGGCAAAATAATGTCAAAGTAAATACTTTAGTATTGATCTGCTTCTAGTCCCCTCGGTCCACAGTATGATAGTCTGTATGCAGGCTACATGGTAAACAGACAGCAATCCGCACCTACTGCAGTCTGGAAAACCCTTCTTAAGAATGGACATGAAGCCTTGGCTCTGAAATTCTGGGTTATTCATTCCATCTCATGTCAAATGTAGTATGAGGACTGTTTTATGTTGCTAGCTCAGTTTCTTTAGAGTGAGACAGATGTTAGTATCCAATAAGTAACTTTACTGCAGGTATAAAGCCGTAAGTTGCCATTTAGATAAAAGAAAGGCTTGACTCTTTGCTTTAAGTCCATAATAATCTGTAGTTGGCTTTGAGGTAGATAAGCGTCTCCAGGTTCTTTGGTAAGACGCGGCCTCTCTCTGGCCGCAGAAAGCGCCCAGCAGTAGTGAAAATGCTCTCCACCACAGTGCCACAAGCAGGTATGGTAAACGCCCTCTTGGCCACCTGGGCTAGCAGAGGAAAGTCAATGGCTTTACGCCGCCAGTAATGCAAAGCCTCTTCATCTGTGGGTTCCTCTCGTAGGTAGACGGCCAACTCCTGCTCTAGGCTCTTGGCCTGTGCCGTGGGTCTCTGCTTGATGAAAGAGAACAGCTTACAGGGCCGTGAAAGTGAGGAGACCGGCGATGGAGCTGGGGCAGGAGGGGTCTGGGATTGAGCATGTAGGTCTGTGCTGGGGTCTGTGGGGCCGGAGGCAGTGGAATGTTTGGATAACTCCTCTATGAGAACTTGTCTGTGCCAATCAGGGTTGCTGCTCCATGTGAGCTTGAACTGGGGGTCCAGGGTGGTGGCAGTGATGTAGAGGGGGTCCTCCAGGAGAGGGGCCAGCCGACTCTCGACAGCCTGGCTGAGGCCTACAAGGAGAGAGGGGCAGTGGGGGGTTGATGTCTCAGAGAGGTGCTTCCGAAGGCCCAGAACACATGGCAGCGCTAGACTGACGGACACATGTCTGTCTGTCTGTGTGTCTACCTGTCTGTCCCCATGCACCATG